GTGTGTGTGTGTGTACTCTTCGAAACCTGACCCATAACCCTAACGATGAGTATTCTATTTCACTTTGCAGAGACCTACGTCCAATCAGATATGGCCATTGCCGCGACCAACAGTCAGTCCAGATTGCGACTGCGGCACATCCCTCGATGGGAGCCAAGTCGAAGTAACGGCAACATTGCCAGGTACAATGCATATATGTAAATTCATACATATAAGTATATATACTCGTAACTTTCAAGACAGATTTTCTGTAAGTATGTACGTATAAATGACAAGATATCTATAAGTGTATGGCAATTTCAAACTGACGTGCAACTGCGTTTGTCTCAGGTGAATCACTATCTATATATATTCATCTCAATGCCAATCACTGTCGGAGAACGTACATGCTAGATAGACTCGAGGCGTTTCTAAAAATAGATGTCTAAAAATAGTTTATCCGCTCTGCACCAATCACAGGAAGAGGAAGTCCACGCCCACTGGACCGTGGGGGCCTATTGATTCGCGAACAGCCGGATTCAAATGTGCGTTTGATCAAATTCTGCACTACAACTGGCTGCCACCTCCCAGCGACGTGCGAGCAGAAGCAGTGGAGCACAAGTTCAGGTATGTGCATATGTGTTTACATACGTTGTCACAGATATGTAGATATATGTGCATGTATGCATGTATGTTCATATGTCGTCATAGATATGAATATATATGTGCATGTATGCATGTGTGTACATCCGTTGTCATAGAGAAGTAGATATATGTACATGTAAGCAGGTGTCTAAATTAGTCGATATGGACTTGTAAAGTATGCGCATGTATTTATGTGACCTTCGTTCCCATGGATTTGTAGATATAAGTACATGTCTGCATATGTGTACATACGTGCCCATGGGTTTGTAAATATATGTGCATGTGTGTACATACGACGCTATACATTATTAAATATATGTACTTGTATGCATATGTGTACATACGTTGCCTTAAAAATACCATATATAAATATATATATGTATATGTAGGTATGTATGTATGTATGTATGTATGTGATGTATATATATACATTTTGCTATATATTTGTATATTATATGTACGAGGCCACTAGGAACGTTTAAGGCCGCTACAATGCGTCAGTTGGTTGGTTGTGCTGTTAATGTACCATGTGTATCACTCCAGTCATGTATGCTGCGAGTCCAATGTGTTCTGGTGTTGTATTGGTCGGCGTGTATCTGGATCGAATCAGGGTGTAGTATTGATGTGACTGTGTATAAGTGTATATGTACATAGTTGGCTTCAGTGTGCATGTGTGTATTCAGATAGCGGCTGATAGCATTCAGCGAAAATATGGAAAATAAATGTGTGTAGTCGGGTGAGTGTGTCATTGCTTCAATACAAAGTACATGGGCATCCCTACAAAGTACATGGGCGCCCCTCCTACCCCCGCATCTAGAGTGAATACAGGGTTTGTTCTATGGCTTTCTAGGCGAGGCGCCTGATTTGAAATCGAGAATATATAAATATGTATATACATTGATCAATACCTATTTGTGGTTTCTGAGCTCTAACCAATGTACACTCCGAATTTGCCTTTCCAAAGCAATATGGAACAGACAAAACCAAGTCCACGAAAGAACTCAACGGTTCGCAGTGACAAAATCAGTGAACGAACAGAAACTGGGGGCAAACCGGTAAGTCAATGTGTGTCGTCTAACACGTGTGTGAAATCTGGGAGTAAACAACTGTACTAGAGCTTAGTTGAAGGTCAATAGCTTTTCTGAGAGAGGACCGCATCTACTAGCTTACACATTTGAGTCTACACACAAATATGTATATCCATTTATATATATATATATATATATGTATATATATATATATAATATATTATCTCGGCGTACCTATCAAAATTTTGAGGCAGGCACTTACTCATCTATTTTTTTTTTCTGCCTGACTTACTTGTGTTATCCACAGAGTCGTCTTCAACAGGTGGGAGGACTGTGCCGAGATTTAGCTGAGCATTTTTTGCGCTTCAATATCACATGGCTTGACTCACAGAGCAGGTAAGGGATGAATCATCGTATGTACTCTAGAGCTACATATGACCTAAAGATGACTCATCGTATGATCTTTCCTGCGCGAAACAGATGTGTACATGCTTGTTGAAATTTCTATTTATTTATTGTGCTGTATGCCTGAGTGTGCTGTATTCTATGTCTATGAATATATATATATATATATTTATATTTATATATATATTTATATATATATCACGAGATTGTTGAGCTAGCCGCATCCTCATAAAATCTCTGTTCATCTTCTAACTCATATGTGTGCAACCTCGCACTAAACCGGGATCAAAGCGGTACTTACCACCTTACTTGCCTAATGCATGTGTATATCTCTCTGTTTGTTACCAATGGACTGCAGTGATTACTCCTTGAATGTCGGCACCGACAACTTCGTCCTGGCCTCGGCCTCGAAGGCCAGAGCTGCGCCTATTAGTAGCAACCAATCAGATCACAGCATGGCCACTAGACCAGCAAGCCATAGCAACACTACATCAAATCGTAGCAGTGTCCACCCAGAGAGGACCACAGTGAACCTTTCGGTCCATCCCGCGCTCGCACGCGCCGACACAGGGAATATCAGTATTGGACAATTAACCAGGAACGATATCGAGGATGGAGCTGCAGAGGAAGTCTTGGTGCAGACGCATAGGTATGTTCTGTGGTCACTGCATTGGTTGGGTCAATGGGCTTAGATGGGCGGCTATAAGTAACGGTGGCTGTGGACAATTAAACAGTAGTGCTGGTGCACACGGTGCTACAGAGATCTGTTGGTACAAATGTATGTGGTCACTGCATTGGTTGGGTCAATGGGCTTAGATGGGCCGCTATAAGTAATGGTGGCTGTGGACAATTATACAGTAGTGCTATTGTACACGGTGCTACAGAGATGTGTTGGTACAAATGTATGTGGTCACTGCATTGGTTGGATCAATGGGCTTAGATGGGCCGCTATAAGTAATGGTGGCTGTGGACAATTAAACAGTAGTACTATTGTACACGGTGCTACAGAGATGTTTTGGTACAAAGGCATGTGGTCACCATTGCGGTGATAGTCTCAAATTTACTGCTTCGCAGATCTGTGACGTTCACTATAACTGCCTAGATCTATGTGCACACTTTGAATAAGTTCTGGCATGCATGTACACTTTGAATAATCTTCGGTATACATCCACGTCTTCAACAAGCTTTGCAAAAGCTCTTGCATACATCCACATTATGAATTGGCTTTGAATATGCTCTGGCATATATCCACACTATGAGTTAGCTTTGAACAAGCTCTAATATGTATTCACACTTTGAATACGCTTTGAATAAGCTCTGGTATATATCCACACTATGAATTAGCTTTGAATAAGCTCTGGTATATATCCACACTATGAATTAGCATTGAATAAGCTCTGGTATATATCCACACTATGAACTAGCTTTGAACAAGTTCTGGTATGTGTCCACACTTTGAATAAGGGGCTTTTTAGGGTTTTTCTGGGGGGGGGGGGTGTTTAGGATTTTTTTAGGGTTTAGGGTTTAGAATAAGCTGTGGCATACATCTATTGATACTCGGCTCGGCATCGGAGTCTCCACATATCGGCATCTTCCGTTCTTTTCATTCGAACCCAAACTCCAATTGTCCTACCATTTTTCAGGTCCATCTATATGATTTTCTGCCCACACAGTTGCGGCCGATTCCGTTTATTTATTTATTGCAGTGCGCCCTCGCATTCGGATCGTGTCCTCTCAGATCTATAGTCTCTATCGCGTGAACAAATAAATACATCCAACACAAATATACAGTTGAAATCATTGAACGCACCATAGACTCTTACCCAGCCCACCACCCACATGATTGGTTGATACAACCCATCCCAATCCTCGTACACGTGCTCAAAAGGTTACATTTTGCCACAGATCTACTCCGGAGCTGTCGGGCGAGTTATGGACCGATAGCGACCGTCGTGTGCTGAACGAGGACTGCATTGTAGGCATGGACACTATGGGCCGACTCTACAATTCCGAGACACTGCCCGAAAGTGGGACCAGAACCGGGACCAGAACCGGTAGGTTGTTGTATCTCTGTACATGTGACTTGCTTGTATCCCCTTGGGAATACATACATGTCTACATGCATGCATACATACATACATACATACATACATACATACATACATACATACATACATACATACATACATACATACATACATACATACATACATACATACATACATACATACATACATACATACATACATACATACATACATACATACATACATACATACATACATACATACA